AGTGTATTGATCTTCAATAACCCATTAAGCTGCAATGCATGTGCCCAAAATGCATCTCTTCTGTACTATTGCATTACTAGTCTGTCCAATGCCAGACAATTTTACTTCACACGCTGGTCACATTCAGCAAATTTTCTCCCAGGATCGCAGGCTCATATTGTCAGTGGACTTGCGGTGTAAAATTGAAACTTTTGCATTTTTCAAAGAACTGGCCACTTTCTGTAAGATGTCCGCTGTCAATACGAACCCGCACGAGTGGGAGAAATTTTGCTAAATTTGACCAACGTGTCATCTTGCAATTAGCTATTTATATTATCAGAAACAATTTTTTCTTCCCTCCCCCTCTGGATGGCAGAAATTTCCTCTGTGGGGGGAGTGTGTATCTTTCCTGGAACAACCCAATCTTATATCTTTTGGAAATTTGCCATTTTGCCTCAGCAAACGTTTCTGCTAGGGAATGTAATGAAATCACTGTACATTACTTTGGCATACTCTGCAGGTGAGCAATTTCACCAATGTTGAAAGCCCTAATGAACTGGCTATGCCTTTGAACAAATTATATTCATTTGCCATATAATAAAATTATGCTCAATTTGTAAAGAGTCAATCAACACTCTGCTGAAAGTCATGGGTTTTCTTTGGGTGCTCTGACCATTATGACCATTTCCATTTTCCAGTACTCACCAATATCTGGGTGTGGGGTTGTTTACAGGTTCGACAATGTTAGATGGGGGGTTTCTTGTAGATTTCTCTGGATTACCTTGGGATATTTGTAGATGCAACAAGATCAGATGGGGGTACATTTGTTTGTAGGTAGTACAGTTATTTTTATTTTCATATTCTTTAAAATTCACAGAATATAAAATATATTATCTAATTTGGCCAGATAAGTTGTCTGTTGTACTTGCTGGCCTGAAAATGTAAATAAACCTCCAAATTTTCAAGTCAGTGCTGTAATCATTCATAGCATCTTGTTCAAAATGTCGGAATTTTTTGTTGTTGCTCACTGTTAACGCTGAATTATCAAAAGGGGAACTATAGGTGGCCTGTTAAGATAAGCATGCATGCATGCCTGTCACTCATCTGATTTTCAAAACAAGTAATATCGCTGCTCAAAAACTTTGTTTTTGTTTTCCAACTTTTTCATGTCACTGTTACAATTTAGATACAGTTCATATTGAATGTTTTTATTCGTTGAATGCTATTTTACCAAGCCTGGATTTTGGTGGAAATAGTGGGAGAGGTGGAAAACATTAGGGGAAGTGCAACAGTCTAGCGCTATGCATGGCCCCAATAGAAAGGCAAGGCTTAGAACGGGCCAAAGTCAACAACACAACCAAAAAATATCAAATTTGCACTTGGCGATGCATTTTACTCCCATATGTCACCACTTCAGGATAATCTCACCTGTCTGAATTTACCAAAACAAGTTCAGTAACCCATTAATGTATGCATAGTTCAATTCTTCCTGTTACCATCCCCCCGGGCAACACCCTGGGATTTACAGATTTTTTATTTCCAAAATGTCAATTCCCCACCCCCAGGCAAATAAAGAATGCCAATTTCCCACCCAAGGGACAACATTCACAAACCATTATTGGACACAAACACATTATAAAGCAAAATTTTACAAAATTAATGTCAACCTTCTAATTCACTCGCAGGACGCATTTTAGTTGCCATTGACAATGTAATCTCTGATCTACAGCCATACAGTATTGTCAAATACAAAATATTTCTCAAAGAATTCTGATGCCATCTTTAACAATTGTAGTTTTGGCAGGAAACATCTCAGAGGTTTTGTTTACAAACCGGTTTGTGAATTTCAGCATGAACTTTTGAACTTCACAAGAAAGTTTGGAACGAAGTATGCAATATTTAGAGAAAAGTTATGTAAAATCAATTGTAAGGTCTATAATAATGTTGAAAAATTTTGTCACTGAAAATTTTGAGTGCCCAGGCTGTCCAAACTTACTAATGTGGCAGAAACCAAATTGGGACCATGTTTTATATAGGTAGGTAAGTCGGAAAAAATATTTAAAAAATATTTTGTCTCAAGTATGCAACAACGGGATCACCTGTGAGCTACATGTTTTTCGCGACAAACAAATACATCAATTGGCGTTTTCATTTTTTTCAGCAGTAGCTGCCGTAGCAGTAGACAAACAAGTCTGATGGCTATTGATATATTCTGCTATTTACAATCTCTGCTGGAAAAAGTCAATGAAATGTTTATGGTCGGTCATATTTTTGACAGGTCGGATGACTTGATGATAGTTGGTATACAATCATGAATAAGAATTGTTACAGGGCCAGGGGGGCATTTCAAGCTCTAGATGAACAAAATAAAGGTTTGAAGAACATTCCAACTATATTAAATATAGAATACATGATAGTGTTATTGGGAAAGCATTAACAACAGTTAACCAGCCTGACCAAGATCGTGTGACTCCCATGCAACTATCTTACTATATCGTCACATCTTTGTCATTTCTCATGCACTCTCACGCTTTCAACCGGGCTTCAGGTCGATCAATATCAAACATAAATGACAAAGTCACAAAACAAATTAAATTGCTTACTTTCCTATAAACTATCTCGAGTATAATTGTATAAAACTTACTGTAAAAGTGTATCTTAATTATTCTGCCTTTTGGACAGCAGACTATCCCAGTTGGTCATGGACAACTTAGAATGAATGTAAATGCACATATTACTGACATCTTGTATATATGGAGGAGCGATCAACTTAATAAAAGTTCCCGAAGTGTATTTTGCCAAAATTCACCTAGATTTTCACGTAGATTCCTTTTGTTAATAATATTGCAGCGTTTCCCCGGAAGTAATTTTCGCACATAGCGATTGTGACCGTGTGACTGGTCACAAATTCCCTGTTCCTTTTGCACTCGCATATATCGAGCATCAGATGCTGTAAGTTGTAAACACACTAGCTATGCTTATTTAGACGTAACCAGGAAATGTCCATGTGTCTCGTTAACCCACTAAGTTGCATTGCACCCTAATTAATTTATAATTTTATTCTGTTTATAAATGCCCGACAATTTTACTCGTCAAGAGGAGAGCAGTGGATCTCAACGAATTAAAGCTGTATCATACAGAAGATGATGGAAAACTGACAGTTACCATTATATACAACATTTCCAAAGTTGAACACCATCTGTTGTTGCAATTATACCCTGGCATACTTAATCAATGAAATCAGTAATCGATGAGTATCAATATCAATCAATACCAATCGATATTTATTGGTTGATTGATATTGGAAAAGATTGATATTGTTTTGCTGTGACCTTTCATCAATTGTTTATAAATTTTTTATCGACATTAACAACTTTAAAAGCGTTCTTTCGTTCTGCTCGTTTCTTTTCCGCTGTAAATTCTTCTCCCAGCTTCACGGTAAATAAACATTCATGATAGTCTTTAACAACTGTCTTGCGAATTAGTACCAAATTCACATCTTCTTACCGTTCACGAGACAATAATAGTGTGTTTCTTCTATTACAAATCTGTATACTTTTACAGCCTAAGCTGTTTTGATATGTAGTTAGCTTAAATACGCCAACATGCGGCGACTATTTAGGATATAAATCGATAAAAATCGAAAGCATTTTGTCAATAAAAATAGATAAATATCGACGAAAATCGATAAATATCAACGAAAATCGATAAAAATCGACAAAAATCAATGAATATCGATAATAATTGATAAAATTTGCATAACTTTTTGTGACTATCAATGGCCATCGACTGACTGTCAATCGATATGAACTAAGTAATTAATATCGATTACCATCGATTGATTGATTGGATTTCCGATGATCGGTTTTCATCGATTGAGTACGGCTAAATTGCAGAATACCCGTTCACTAGCCACATTTTCAGTGACTACGCAGTCACGCGCTATCAAATTACAATATCAAGGAAATACGTCAGAGTATCAATGTGTCGTTCTTTTAAAAACTCACTGCGTAGCCATGTTTGAAGCCGTTTAATAAACTCGCAGGTCGTGTTTTAAGGCTGGTTTCCATTGCAGTTGCTTTGCCCGCGCGGGCGGAGCGGGCTTTGGAAATTTGCTCACGCGGGTGTCAAAAACAATCTTCTAATTAAGATTGACGTTTACGGCAAACGTCAAACCGCTGGCGAGGTTTTTGATTTTACAACTCTATTATTATAGCTTTTACACCAGTTTTGAAATATGTTAAACAATTGATATCAAACTTGTGCTCTTTAGGAATGATTTAAGAAAGCAAATTAACCATTATAGACATGTATTCACCAAAGCAGTAAATTAAGATTTGTCGTTTGAAGTTGACGTTTGACCATAGGAATCCCAATAAATTTATATAGTTGTAACAAATAAAAAGCGTTAAATTTGTTTAATTTTGAATAAATTTGCATTGTATTACCGTGCTTTGACTCTTTTCAATCTTGCGCTGTGAATTCAGTGACGTAGGTAAATCGCATATACGAAGCATAAGTCAGTTATAGTATAACCCTGAGTATAACTTATTCTTCGTATACGCGATTTACTACGTCACTGAATTCACAGCGCAAGATTGAAAAGAGCAAAGCACGGTAATACAATGCAAATTTATTCAAAATTAAACAAATTTAACGCTTTTTATTTGTTACAACTATATTTATTGGGATTCTATGGTTTGGCGTATAAATTTTATACTTGAACTGCTAAGAGCTTGTAGTCGTTCACGCATGAAATTTATACGCCAAATGTAAACTTTAAACGACAAATCTTATTTACTGCTTTGGTGAATACATGACTAGTGGTTAATTTGCTTTCTTAAATTATTGCTAAATACCACAAGTTTAATAATTGTTTAATATATTTCAAAACTGTTGTAAAAGCTATTATAATAGAGTTGTAAAATCAAAAACTTCGCTGGCGTTTTGACGTTTGCCGTAAACGTCAATCTGACTTTAAGGTCGCAAAGCGAACCTTAATGACAAACGGCCTTTATTAGGTCACTGCGTAGCCACTAAATAATATACCTTCCTCACAATTACATCATTATATCAATTTCTCGTTCCCTTAAAAACTCACTGCGTATAACCAGTGAGAAATATATCTACCTTATAATTACGCAATTATTATACGAACGACTCGTTTTAATTTAAAACTCACTGCGTAGCCACGTAGCCATCAATATTTCTGGCGGGTACGCCAGGCTTCTATTAAAACATACTAAACATACTTTTGTCTGATGTTGTTGTCTCCATTGCAAAATATATGTAGTAGGAAAAACACCTTTTAACAACCGTCATAATCTCCACATTTCTCTCGAGCACGTCTTGACAATACTAGTTTCATTTTCATTTCTAAATTTGAACCTCTCAGTGGTTCCACTCCACTGATATCAGTGTTCCACTCCCACTCACTGCTCCCACTTTCTTCGTTTGAGCCCACAGTATTAAAGTTCAGAGGTATAGCATGGAAACTTCGTGTAGTACTATGATAATGAGTTATTCAATGGAGTATTGGCCTCGGTATTGGTGTACTTTATTACGCACAACTTGTAACAAACTTGCAGCAGACTTTTAGCAATTAATACGCACCAACTAGTAACAAACTTGCAGTAGACTTGTAGCAAGTAATGCTGTTCCAACAACTTGTCAACAGGATGTGTTCGCACTGCTTGTTCCCAGCTTGTTGACAACTTGCTACAAGGTTGTTGAGCTCAATAGACTTATTACAAGTTAATTGCGTAAACGTTCTCGGGTTAAAAATATTTATTTGTCACAAGCTTTTGACTGCCAGTCTGCAGTCTTCAACGGGTAGATTAATAATGTGCTAGTGATATAAGATATGACACAAAGTGAATAGTGCTGTACAATAGCGGTTTACAATTACATTTACTGACACAAAAGCCGAATTACTGACAGTTCCGCCTACTAGTGCAAAATTTAAAGTTTTTTGAGCAAAAAGAGATATTGTTCTGGCAAATGTTTTGAGTTGTTATCAGCGTCTTTCGTGCATGCAGTGTGCCAAGACTCGATGTCGATAATGTCGATTTATGTCGATAGCTTCCCTTGTCAATTACTTTTTCCGTTTTAAAAATCAATTCTGTGGTCGTTTGCCCACGCATGGTTCGCGATGTTAGAGTATCGCGAGTTCAGTAATTTGTAGAAATTGGTTAACGCATGTTTTTTAATAATAGAAAATACATCATCGACATAACGAAGCATTTCTTAGGTTGTATAGAAGATGTACTTAGTGCTGAGTCCTCCTCAATTTCCAGTTCCATGCAGAGGTTTGCTAACATGACTACCCATTGCACAACCATGAATTTGTTTGTACGTTATCTTGTTGTTATTGAAATAGCTATTAGTAAGAGTAAAACGTCAAAAGGGCTTGATATCGACTTGATGATCGTAAGTTGCGTCATGTCTACAGCAGACCTGCTGCAACTTGCGCGTTTCTGGTTGTGTACTCTGGCACAAACCGAGTTTATATGTTATTATTAGAGAGGTCAAGATACCCCGGTTCCGGTTTACGGGTACGAGTATCGCCATTTTGTTTACCAATTTTTGCTGATGTCAGCAATTTTACCCGTTTTACCCAATTTTACCCGTTTTACCCAATTTTGCACGTTTCCCCGCGGTAAACCGTGGTCTACACGTAAACGACAAACGGGTACGGGTGTTTCCTGTTTACTATTTTTGGGCCGTTTAAATAGTACACATTTTCAACATCTTATCCAAATAAATAATGCACATATGCTGGTCAAAGTTTTTAACAATTTATGGCGAACCTCAACAGCGAAAGTTGCCATTCTCTGATCGGTTTTCTCACGCCGGAGTATCTTGGATTTCTTAAGTTACAAGCTATTCCCCGATTTACGGGTACGTGTATATCACCCGTACCCGTAAATCGGAATCGGGGTATCTTAACCTCTCTAAACTTATATTAACTTGCGTTCCTTCAGTTGCTTAAATAACTCTTCGGTGGCTGCGTAAATTGCCTGATCAGCGGTTTCAAAATGGTTCTTCACAGAGAGGACAGGTGCAGCATCTTTCGCTGTTCCATCGTAGACCCAAGATTCATTCCATGAGTGAACTCGTCCTGAAGCTACGTATTTAATTGTGCGACCATTATGTATGTCCTAAATACATTAAGTAAGAAGATCTACCTTAGGTCAATAAGAAACAAAGTAGGGGAAAATGGGAAAAGGGAGACAAGAAAAGTTGGATAGGAAATAAGGATGGATGGGTAGAATGGGAAAATGAAGAAAGATAGTGGTAAGAAGGATGAAAATGAAAAGGGCAAATGATAGTCATTTGAATATAAAGGTGAACGTGTTTATTTTAGGGGATGTAGTAGAATATGAGATACGGGAGGAAGAAATGATGGTAAAATTTAATTGTGTTGGCATATACCGTGCCTTCCGTTGTACCAGCAATACTTTTAAGAAACTGGTCGATGGAAACGTGTGGAGTCGGTATAACAGAATAGCTACCTTCTGCGTTGTAGTGACGCCAGTCTTTTAGCACAACAGGATATTTAAACATATTATATACAACAGATGCCGCCATTGCGCTGGCAAATGGCTGCCAAAGTTTTGTTTTCTCTTTACTTCCGTCAGCAAAATCCGACACTGCTTTAATCACAGCCCATTCTATGCCAAGATCATACACAGCAGCATATAAACCTAAAATTTAAGCACAAAAATGTAGACGTGTGTTCATGTCATAGGCATAACGCTAACCCATTTTGCAGTAATAGCGCATCAAGCCCAATCATGTTTTGGGTTAAAAATCTCAGTTAATTTTTGTTCAGTATTAAAGACACTAGAAATCCCCCATTAAAGGGAAATGACAATATATTTTTTCTTTTCTCATTTGAAAAAACTTTTAGGACTATATATAATACTCTTTTACCGTTTTTTTCCATATCTTGCTTACTTCTACAAATATTTTGATCGAAAGGAATGAAATGTCCGCCATCTTCAATTTTTGTAGATATGCATGTCACATCACAACAGGGGTCACGCGATATTTTTATCTAGACAACCACTAATCATTTTGCGCTCAAAACTATACTCTGTCTGCCCTTCGAAATATCAAGATCACTCAAAACCTTTAAAACATCTACCAATCAATATTTGGTTAGCAACGAATACTTTTATGTAGTTGATCCCTGTTGTCACAGGAAGAGATTATTTCGCTGGCCTCAGAGTAACAAAACGTAACAAAGCAACGGTTTTACTAACACTAACCTTATTCCAAACACCAACTCTAACCCTAACCCTTGAGTACAAACTTGGAGTAGGGTTAGGTCAAGGTCCTTGACCTAACCCTAACCTAACCCTACTCCAAGTTTGTTTCTAAACCAATCTTGAAGAAAAATTTTTGACGAAATGTCATTCTGAGGTCAACGAAATAACTTCTTCCGTTGTGACGTCACCAAAACTACCGTTAATGAGGTCAAAAATTTATCCAAGATGGCGAACATCTCATTACTTCAAGTGAAATTATTTCAAGAACTAAGCAAGATATGAAAAAGCGGTAAAAGAAGTTAATATGTAGTTACAAAAGTTCTTTCAAATGAGAAAATAAAAATTTTATGTTGTCATTTTCCTTTAAGTTCCCTCCCCTCTGGAATTTGTTTTAACAGGTTGACAGATTGATACACCGTTCGAAGCCTAATTGGTGTGGAAGGCTGGAATGATGCGGGAAGTTCCTACCTGCACCCTCCATTTCAAGACCAAGTGCGTCCGGGAACGAATTCAGTAACTCTTGTCGTTTTTCAAGATTATTAACTAAATCCGAGCCACTTAACATCACAGCGTCATGGTGAACTTCAACGTCTAAACTTTTCGGGTCTTTCAACGGTGGTTTCCAACCATGAGCTGCATTGAGGATAAGACGAGCCATATTTCTACTAACATTCGCTTTAGTGCTGTGAAACACAACTGCACCATCTGTCTTGAATTTCTTATCATCATAAGTCGCCAGTTTGGCAGAAATCACGACATCGCCAAGTTTTGCCTTCGCCCGTCCCATGCTTGCACAGATCCCGACAAAGAGGACTACTTTTGGGTGTAAAATTTCAGCGGCATTTTTCACTGCTATTACAGCCTCAATCGGTCCCTGCCAAGATTTCATCAATGCAACTCTCACATTCGGGTTATTCTGATTGCCAAATCGACCAAAATATACCATTCCCAGTTTCGTAGAATAACCTCGTTGAACATGTTTCATATACGAATAGCAAGCATTGAATTCATGATCATTTGCTGTTATTAGCAGAATATCTGTTGGTAGTTGTGACTGAATCTCATTGCTTGACCAGTAATATGGTTCACTATCAAAATCCCTCGCTGTCGGGAGTGTGATATTGAGTTCTGGTGGTAGTGGTGCTATACGATCATTGCCTTCACAAAACATGATGATACAAATTACAAAGGCAACTCGTTGTACAAAGTTTTAATACAATTAACAACGATGATTCATCGTTCTATTCTCGGATTGCATGTGACGTCACGTGGGGGTCAAGAAATTTGTTTAAAGATACACACGTAAAAATCTCACATCTTGTAACAAATCTGCCAACAAGCCGTCAACAAGTTTGGAACAACTTGTTGATAACTTGTAACAACCGTGTCAAAATTATCAGATTTGTTGCAAGGTTGTTCTCACAAGTCCGTTACATGCTTGATATAACAAGATTGTCACAACCTTGTGTTAACAACCTTGTAACATCCTTGTTGTATCATGGCTGTAACAAACTTGTTAGCACAGTCTTGTAACAAGGCTGATAATGCCATCAAGCTTGTTACAAGTTGTTAACAGCTTGTTCCAAACTTGTTACAACAACTGGGAAGAAGCAGTGCGAACACAACTTGTTGACAGCTTGTGAACAGACTTGTAACAACTTGTAAAATCGGAAACGTAAATTGCAATCTAATGTATAGTTAAAGTCTAACCGTAACCAAACAATTACCTGAGCTTGAAGCTTCACTTGAGGTTTCATTTGGCCTTCTAAAGTTCGAGCTGTCTTCTACCATAGCTACATCAGGCACTTGAAAAACGGATGAAACAATTATACATACGGGATACAAGGCTGCGTGAATTAAGATATGGTCTTTGATTTCGAGTAGTGCAAACAGTACTTTATGCATGAATGAGGCCACGGTCAAACGTGGAAATTTTCATGTGCCGAACCTAATGCAAATGAAGTGAAACAAAGAACTTAGCACATTAACATTAGGTTGGGCAAATGAAAAGTTCGACGTTTCACCCTGGCCTAAGCGTACCAAATAAAATATTGCTTTCACCACGAGAATATAAAACATATATGTACCTAATTTGCGTGGATGAAGTGATAACCAACTTGTACAGTGCATGATAAAAGTAAAATGTGCAGTGATAAAATTTGCTGTGATAAGTTGTTATAATTAACAAGAAAATGAGACAATGAGCAGAAAATTCGTTTTGACACTTGACAGTATTAATCAAAATATTTTGAATGAAAATAATTTGAATGAAATTGAAATGGTAAGTGCCAAATTATCGAACGTCCACACTAATACCATACTTAACGTTCATCAGATGAACAAAGTCTCACAACAAAGATCTCTTTGTGAACTTGGAAAATGGAGTGATTACAGTGCTGTAAAAGTTACTCATTTTTTGGAACTAGTTACAGTTACAGTTACAGTTACATTCCCAAAAAAAGGAACTAGTTACTGGTAAAAGTTACACTTAAAAAAATGTAACCAGTTGCCGTTACAAAATTACTTCAATATTTTTGTAACTAGTTACAAAGGAGGAGAATTTCGAGAACTGAGAGGTAAATTGTAAGTTTTAACCGCAAGAATGTAACGAAAAAAGTAACGTAAACGTTGGCTATAAAAGTAAAGCGTTATCGTTTCATTTTAGGACAAAATGTAACTCGTTACAGTTACATTATTTTTAAAGGTAACTAGCTACCGTTACAGTTACTCTAAAAGTAACAATTACCAGGGTTAATCGTACATGTGAGGAAGAGTCAAATTCAAGGACTTTTCAAGGACATTCAAGGCCAAGTGTCAGCAAATTCAAGGACTACATACTGAAGAAGAAGGCGTTAGAAATCAGCAAAATCTGACGTTGAATTGTTCAAAACGTAACTTTATAATGAGGTCAGATATGAACATGCAAAATCAGTTCAACAAAATGTCCGTCTTGAATGTCAAACAATTTCAGAAAATATCCAAAACCTAAAGCAAGAATAATTCAAGGACATTCAAGGCTTTGGATTTTTGTTTTCAAATTCAAGGACATACAACGACTTTCAAGTTTTGTACGAACCCTGGATTACTTGTAATTTCGTTACTTGTAAACGAAGTTACTTACAGCACTGGGAGTGAATGATACTTAACGTTTTGAAATAAGTGTATAATCTTCAGAATTCTATAGATTGTCCCCGCATATTGAAGGAAATGCCCTTTTAAAGAGCCTATAGATTGCAAAATGTCCTGTGGGTCACGCCTAAATTGCCTTTCATTTGCCAAGACGAAAATATTTCTTTCCTCGGAAACGTAAATTGCAAACTAATATATAGTCAAAGTCTAACCGTAACCCGTATATAAGAACCCAGATTTACACGTTCAGTTAGCCTACAGGGGCCGGTTGTATCAAGCCCGTTTAGCTTAAACGGTGGTTAAGCTCAAAATAGAAAGCAAGTCTATAGATTCATTAAACAACCAAACTAAAAGTTTTGAACCTTAATAGAACAATATTGTTTACAACTACATATTCAGTGCAGAATATTTAAGTTGACTGATTCACGAAAGATATAAGAGTGTTATTTAATTTTGACTTATCCACCGTTTAAGCTAAACAGGCTTGATACAACCGGCCCCAGGTTGTAACAGAATAACATGTCTGAGAACTGGGAAGAGACATGTTTGCACCACGACAATGCACGTCAATGGTATTTGATTCGCTAAAATACCACGTTTTCTTGTATATAATCACTAGATAGAAATTTATTATTACATTAACTGATTCATACCGTCCATAGATCCTTTGAGATAGGAGTCTCCTGTTGATTTAGAATCTGTGAATAATTTAAAACTACATATTACAACAATAAACCTAGATACATGATGAAAAATTATCTACAATGCTTGTGACTAAAAATTCCTATGAACTGAAATCAAGAACAGGCCAACTGATCAGTTCCCTCGATACCTCTTTAAAACGCCACAGAAATAACGCAACAGCTTAAAGTCCCGTACAAAAGAACATTTGTTTTCCACGTTCAAAACTAAAAGGCTTAATAGGCACTACCAGCTTTTATGAATTATATTCAATAAAAATGCTGCAAAAAATTCTGATGAAAACACACACGGTACTTACAAAGTGTGCACAGAAATATGAGGGCCCCCTATACTTTTTGCGTGAAGCGTGAAGGGCTTGTTTTACTTAGCCGTGAAACGTGATCAGGCCGCCTATACTTTTTGCGTGAAGCGTGAAGGGCTTATTTTACTTAGCCGCGAAACGTGATCGATCGTTTTCTTAATCCGTGACTCGTGAAAAGGCAAAATATTTTTACGTGAAAGCATATTGTGAAAAGGTATAGGGGGCCCTCAAATATATGGTCTTCTAAAATCAGAATCGTAAATTGCAAACTAATGTATAGTCAAAGTTTAACCGTAACCAAACAATTACCCGAGCTTGAAGCTTCACTTGAGGTTTCATTTTGCGATCCACACTTCGAGCTGTCTACTGCCGCATCAGGCACTTGAAAAAACGGATGAAACAATTAAACATGGAAGATACAAGGCTGCGCGAATTAAGATATGGATTCTATTTTGAGTATTGCAAATAATACTTTATAAATAAACGTAGCGAATGAGTAAAATATTGCTTTCACCACGACAATATAAAATCATGTATCAGTTAATAAAACAACACAGTCACAAGAAACAAATCAGCACTCATTCTGGCCAGTCCTGTCTGCATCGACATCTTCACTATAGTAAAGACATCACAAAAAATATCTCAATGATATTTCGTGATGTCTTTAAGAGTTCGTATATAGAGGATATTACACGGCGGCGCGAATATATGACTTTTATCTTCGAGTGGTGAAAACAGTATTTTACGAACGAGCGCAGCGAGTGAGTAAAATATTGTTTTTAACACGAGAAGATACAAGTCATATCTTCAAGCCACCGTGTAATGTTCTGTTTATTATATAGTCCCAAGTAAAAAATTGTATAAATACTAAAAGTCACGCGATCAATATCTTCACTAGTGAAGATATGGAAAATATCTCACTCTACTAAAAAAAAAAGTAAGCTTTATATCAGCAGATACTTTATCATCATTTAATTCGTTTACCTGTTCTTTAATTCTTACTGATCTGCCTATTATAATTGTCAACTACAACTTTACCCATTCTGATGTTGTGTAGGCTGCAAGCAGCTCTCTTTCACAACATTGGGTCCGACAAGCGACGAGACAAAACGTTTGTCTTACTAAATCTGTATTACTCGTATTATATTAGGAAGCTCAAGCAAACGATGTTTTTGTCAACATGGACGACGAGACAAAACGTTTGTCTTACTAAATCTGTGTTACTCGTATTATATTAGGCTCGTATTATATTAGGTATTATATTAAGCTCAAGCAAACGACGTTTTTGTCAACATGAACGACGAGACAAAACGTTTGTCTTACTAAATCTGTGTTACTCGTATTATATTAGGAAGCTCAAGCAAACGATGTTTTTGTCAACATGGACGACGAGACAAAACGTTTGTCTTACTAAATCTGTGTTACTCGTATTATATTAGGCTCGTATTATATTAGGTATTATATTAAGCTCAAGCAAACGACGTTTTTGTCAACATGAACGACGAGACAAAACGTTTGTCTTACTAAATCTGTGTTACTCGTATTATATTAGGAAGCTTAAGCAAACGACGTTTTTGTCAACATGAACGACGAGACAAAACGTTTGTCTTACTAAATCTGTGTTACTCGTATTATATTAGGAAGCTTAAGCAAACGATGTTTTTGTCAACATGGACGACGACACAAAACGTTTGTCTTACTAAATCTGTGTTACTCGTATTATATTAGGAAGCTCAAGCAAACGACGTTTTTGTCAACATGAACGACGAGACAAAACGTTTGTCTTACTAAATCTGTGTTACTCGTATTATATTAGGAAGCTCAAGCAAACGATGTTTTTGTCAACATGGACGACGAGACAAAACGTTTGTCTTACTAAATCTGTGTTACTCGTATTATATTAGGAAGCTCAAGCAAACGATGTTTTTGTCAACATGGACGACGAGACAAAACGTTTGTCTTACTAAATCTGTGTTACTCGTATTATATTAGGAAGCTCAAGCAAACGATGTTTTTGTCAACATGAACGTCAGATTGCCGGGGGAGGGGACTGGATTAAAAACTGTGTTTGTATCAGTTTGTCTGTTTGTCGTAATCTTCAACACATATGACAAAACATAAGATTTTTAAAGTTTTTTGCTTCCTTACATGAGCGCTATGTTGCAAAACGCCTCCAATATTAGTGATACCAATTTTCAGATGACGCCCCTCCGTGTTGACAGAAACGTTGCTTGCTTAAGCTCACTAATCCCTCGATAGTCCTAACCCAGGCTTGGTCCTAACCACAGCAAAGATGATTGTCAACTAAAGATTTCAAAACTGGAAAAGTAAAAACGCCTTTAGCATTAGTCACTTACCAGTATTGAGCCAAATTTTTACACTCTTTATGTCAAACACCTTGGACGAGCGTTCGTCCGTCCGGCAAACTGCAGGGGATTTATCGTTGTATAGTCTCTGAAGGTCACTAAGCTTCCAGAAGTGGCGGTGCCCACAACGGTCTGAATGACACTGGATCTCATGATGACGAGAACACTTTCTTTCTTCTTTACCAAAGCAGCAGGTACATTCCACTTCGAGGTCATAGCTGGTCATGCTGAATAATAGTTGGTCTGGAGATTTAAGGTCGTCCAAACACTTTTTCAGAGTGGTTTTGAGATGACTGGCAAACTTGAAATGGTCGCCATCCTGTTTTGGAAAAACGGCAACCTTGATGAACTCGTGGAGGTCGATTAAACAAACATCATACACGTCGCCGTCTATAATAAGCGGAAGCAAGGAATAGTTGCAGTAGAAGAAAGGCGTGGCTTGTTGATTGGGGAAGCGCTTTTCCCACTCAGAAATCAATTTCACTTGAAGTTTCGTAAACAGGCCCATCGGTACAAGTTTGCGAGGAAATGTCACAAACAGCGATGGAACATTGCTAGCTTCCAACTCCTTTCCTGGTTTCATAGCTGGGGCAACTGAAGGGACATAAAAAGCAGTTTTTCCCTCGTGCTGGCAAAGACAAATCAAATTAAACTTTTGCATAAGCTCTTCTAACAGTTTTCCGTCTTCCAGCTTCTGAAGATATTCTCGAAACAAAATGCCGTTCTGCCTGAACACGTCAAGAGTGTACCTGGACAAGGCATCCAATCTGCCGGGCATGGAGATCACTTTCGTAAAGCGATTCATTAGCCAGTGAGGATCCAATACAACCTTGCTGGATCCACTGTGGTGCACGACCACACCTTGGCGGTGTAGAAATTTGATAGCTTGATCAAACTCACCAACGCCACAGGCCTTCGCTTCCTGCTTAGCTTCGTCAACTGGGATATACTTGCAATCTTTCCGGCTTAGAGCAACTTCAAAATTTAGCCACTTCACAGGCATTAAAATCTCCTGGTTAAGGACTGCATTCGAGAGGTCAAAAAGCTTTCTACGAACCTTTCGCACGTCGTCTCCGTCGTCGTCTTCCAATGTATTGTCGATCACGAAAAACTCTGGGACAACATTCTCATATTTTCCTCCAGATAAGACCTTTTTTATTCTCTTCTGTACACAATCTATTCTGCTGTCGTTGCCTTTCACCTCATCACTGTGAGTTAAGGCTATTAAAACTGGTGGCAGTTTAAAGTTCTCACCCTTTGCAGTGGTAAAGTGACCAGATTTATCAGGAAACTGTAGATCTTGGCATTCTCCTAAACCTTGCAGGAACTTCAACCATGATGTAAAATTATCTAAATTGGTATTCAGATGAGGATTGTTCATCTCTATCTCTTCCTCTTCATTACTTGTTTTAAATTTGGGAACGGCGGGTTTATCAAACTCTAGAGAAAGGTCGTAAACCAAAACATAAGGGCAATGCGGTTTCACAAAGCAGCCATGGGTATCGTAATAGATTGACTGTCCAGCAAAGTCACTTACAAATACCCGAAGAACTTCGTTCTGGTCGTGTTCAGTGGACCTCTGCAATTTGATTTTGGAGATTTCTTTTCTTAATAATGGCTTCACTGGCATCACTGGCTTCACTGGCATCTCTGGCTTTACTTGCATCACTGGCATCACTGGCTTTACTTGCATCACTGGCTTCAATGGCTCTGGCGCATCCCCTTCCAAATTCCTCTGAACTCCTCCATCAAGATACTCGGCAGTTTTTTTGTATAATACAGTCTCTGCCTCGCTTTCACTGGTCATAAACTTCTTCACTTCTGTCTTTTTCCAGGGATCTTCCGCGTTTTGTTCTGTTAGCTCGATAACATTAACGTCAATACCAGTGGTACTGGGTTGATCTTTGTTGAATGGTAATCCTAAAAGACGTCTCATCAGCGACGTCTTTCCGCCTCGGTCTTGCCCGACCACCATAATCGGAATTCGATTATTTTTTGCTTCACCTTCATGGAGAGCTTGCAAATATGCACGCCTATATTCTTCCTCTTCAATATCTTGACAAAATAAAGTTAAAACAAGATTTAGCATAATGTAAAATGAAATATAACCTCCATCAAATCACTGTGTATGTTGTATTGCTGAGTTTTGCGACAATTACAAGTATAAAACTCTAGGCTCTGAGCGGCTAGAATTTGAAAAGATGGAAACACCGCATAAATAATTGTACTGTCACTTGAACACAGTATAGTTGAGCTATAGTATTGCTGAATGCCTTTGTGCAAAGCGCGCAAACCTGTGCAACTACTGCAACATAGTCAAATTGGCCGGAAGCATTCACATAACTAGAATTTGAAAGAAGCCCAAATATTCGAGTTATAAGTTTGAACTGATCAATGCTTTCTCAAAACGACAGTCTTTGGCGTTTTCAGCCCGACTTCGCGTTTTCTACCAAACTACTTTTACTCCCTTCAGACAGAATTTAAGATTTTGTGAATAATTATCGTAAAGAGCCGAATGCGAGAATTTGTATATCAACACTCATGTTGTAAATGGCTTGTGAAACGTCTTAATGAGGACATTCGTATTCTTGAACAATGTGAAATAAATGAATGATATTCGGTGAGAAAAATAAACTTAAAGTTTATGTACATCAGCATAATTTTGTATCAGATATATACAGACTACTTCACGCTCATGATTTCTTTTGTGTTTTCTTCTAAGCTGTTGCGGTATTTAAAAAAAAAAACGAAAACCGATACCGGAAAAAAATACCGATAATCGATATTTTTTCGCGATTGTATTTTGCTTAATTTTATGCAAAATTTGCTTAATTTTATGCAAAAGTTTCTGTTTTCAAATTATGCCAAACAACCACGATATAACAGCTTTCACTCATCGGGTGCGTGATAATTTCAATAAGGTGTATTTTACAATCTTTGTCACATGACCGGTTTAACCCACAGAGCTAGTTGCTCCTTTACGGGTAACCTGCTAATGCAATACTGAAATATAGGTTAACACAGTGGATATATCGCTTCAAAATCGCTAATCACTGAGACGTTTGATTTAATGTGGTCCTGAGCAATTCTAATCATGTGGATCGAAAAAAAGGAATTTAATTTAAATTTCACATGCTCACTAAAAAGTGATATTTCCACTGGGTTAACAGCAACTAATGACAACACAGTTTGACAGAAAGACTGGACAAGGAACGATACAATTGGCACTTTACACACACTGTTTTAAACGTTTGTGGAACCTCAATGTCGTAGACCTCTTCAACAAGCTTTTGGTAATATTTAAATAGGCCGCATTTAAATTGACTGACTGAGAGATTTGACTGCCGTAAGTGTGATGGTAAACAGTTAAAAGTCCTGGGTGATCTGCAGTATAATAACTGTTCTGAAATGTTGAAGTGTTTTTTACTCTAGGAACTTGTAGTATAATTTTTGCTGTTCCACCATTTTCTCTCGTCAACCGATCTGTTGTCTTTACATGGATATTGTGGTCGTTAGATAGAACTAACGTTTTGTAAAGGTAGACCATATCCAGGAATTCATGCCAGTATGTTAATGGTAGTAAATCACTTTTGACAAGTCTATCTTTGTATGATACTCCTGACAAAAATGGCAGTGATAAAATGTATCTGGTGGCGCGACGTTGGACGTTTTCTGATACCGACTGTGGTGACCAAATTTGTGTGCAATATGCCATCTGGCTTCGCACCATTGAAAAGTGATTGGTGTGACGCCAGTGATCAGTAGCCTCTGAAATGTCCGCTTTGCAAGGCTATATTTCCCGCATTTTACAACATTTCGCAACCAAACTTTGCAATTTTACTCATTTTAATATGCTCTTTCTAGCTGTGGTGATTTATTTGCATCTCCTTGCCTAGTTTTAAAATTAGTCTATAATGGGAATTGTCTATTAGACAATTCCCATTATAGACTAATTTTAATACTAGGCAAGGAGATGCAAATCACAACAGCTAGAAAGAGCATACTAAAATGAGTAAAATTGCAAAGTTTGGTTGCGAAATGTTATAAAATGCGGGAAATATAGCCTTGCAAAGTTCGCAAATTTTATTTTTTGAGATGCGCAAAATGACATATTACAGTTTGCAACGCCAACGTATAAACAAACACGTTTTAGATCTCGCTCCAACCTTAATTTACAGATTTTACCGCGGAGTTAGCACATTGATCGCCCTTGTCTTTGAAGATTGACATGACGTTTAAATATACAAACGTAAACGTGATATCGATAATACCGAAAAATATCGATATGACGATATATCGAAAACTCCAATATCCAGTAATCGGAATTTATAAAAACCCGATAATTATCGGTATATCGATATACCGCAACAGCCTATTTTCTTCATGAATTATTAATGAGTCTTACAATCCAGGAAAATAAGACAACAGACCTACCTTCAGTCTCTTCTGTACCATTCTTGGTCGTACAAGGAAAGTTCTCGAGCATTAACCTTGGATAAATATGCAGGAAAAATCCGCCAAAAATGATACGACCAACCTAGGATTGAAGCAAAGACTTTAACCGTTTCTCACTCATTGGTGAGCGGATTTCCCAATTGATAGTGGATCCGAGGTACCTACGATTTTAACGTCCTTATCGGAGAAGCAGGCTTTTAGCCAGACGGGCGTCCAGGCATCCTGGGACGCCTCTAGAAAAACAAATGGACGCCTTTGGACGCCCAAATTCTGGGGAAAAGGGAAATTATTTTCAATTATTTCCCTAAGTATATTAATATATCTGAAACAAAATAGCTTCAATTCTCCTTATTATACATTAGACATTTTGATCAATTTGATGGTGTACCTGGCTGAATGAAAATGTCATGCATAGTTAAGTAAAGAAGCATAGCGGCACAAACTCACACACCCAAGTGTGTTTTGAAAAATTTTGAACGAGCTTGGAACAGATACTGACATGAAGTAACGTAAACTTCAAAAGGCTCGAACCCCCCCCCCCTTACTGTAGATGTATCGTTATACCAAAATTGGACGCCCTCTTTTAGGAACCTGGCTAAAAGCCTGCCGAGAAGACGCGAAAGTCTAACCATTTACTGATGTCAATGTAAAGGTAGCATTTTCTCCTCAGTTATTTTAAGACTTTGAGTAGAGGTCCGACCATGGATTGAACCCAGGTCTCCCATGCAGCGTGAAAGGCAAGCGTGGTGATCACGACATCACAAAAGCTGGTTACTGTTGAAATGACAAGTCAAATACTTGTTCTTTCAAGTTAAAATATGTTATGTTTTTCTTTTGTTGGGCGAGAAGTTAAACAGCTCGTCAGTTTTTTTTGCGATATTGCCCACTTACATGCCCGTGAATAATCAAACAATTTTATTACATACCCAATCATCATTTTCTTCCAACCACGTTTTAACGGTTTTCAACGCAACATGAATATCCTTTTCGCTCGGGAACACTAGAAACAATTTTTAAACTAACCTTACTTTAACTGTATCAATGTTTTTATCGTTCTTCCTAGAGGTCTAGTAAGGTCCAAAGGGATAAAGCTTTCAAATGGAAAATTTTATTCCACATGACTCAGTGCCACCTAGCGCAAGGTGAGATCTCATCAAGTCAGGCTGACTCGTTTCTCATATGAACAGAAATTGAATTTTATATGCATTAACAAAAGGCATGCAGATCTCAGTCGGGTGAGTTTCCCGATTAGCTACGCTCATATGAACACGTCTTTAAGTCCTCACCATTGAAATGAATATAACTGGAACGCTATACCTTCACATAAACTGCCTATCTTTTACTTGAAGCCAAATCTTGACTCCCAGACACGCGTGTTTATATCATGATTGACTGATTGAGCGCTCTTCGCATGCGTGAAAAGACTGGGACTGGCCTTCAAGTTTGGCTTCAAATTTCCAGTTGGAGGTAGCGTTCTAGTTATATTCAGTTCAGTGGTACTCACCGTAATCGAGGTATGTAGTAGATATACAGCAAAATGCCTGAAGAACAAAAAATATGATCATTGTATTAAAATGCTTTATCAACCAAAGAGTGAAATACTGTATTCTAGCTACAATATATATAAGTAAGCACGTCCACTATCTACAATACTGTAGTAATCCCCATAATACTCTCTGTAGTAATTTCTATGATGGGCTACTTTTAGCAAACCCTAATGGTAAATCTAAGAAGACACTCGGGGGTTGTGCTTTTTCGCGTGCTGCTCCCAAACTTTGGAATTCTCTTCCAGCGAAAATAAGAGAACTACAGAACATTACAACTTTTAAAAATAGTGTTAAGACATTTTTATTCAGTAGAACTTTTCAGTAATTGATTAGTGCTGCATGTATATAATTATATTTCTCTTTTGTTGTTTTATTGCTTATATCTATATAATAATGTATTGTAATTCGCATTTGAATATTGCATATGTATAGATACTTGTGCAATATAAACATTAATATTTGCGTCATCATCTACCTATACTATCCAGGCTCGTGGTTGGTTGATTATAACAATGAAAGACAACAAAGCTATAGAAATCGTCTTTCTAAAGAACGAGTCACGAACAATGATCATTTTTGTCTCTGATTTGTTTCTGAAAGCCAATCACAAAACATGATCATTTTAGGTAGGTCTTTACCCAAATAATTTGTAAAACTCATTAATAATTCATAAAGAATTAAAACACAAAAGAAATCATGAGCGTCGAGGAGTTTGTATATCTGATACAAAATCAACCTGTTTTACATAAACTTTAAACGCGGGAAAATTAGCAAAATGTTTTTTTACTTTCGGCTATGGCAGCTTTTTTCCGAAAATATTACGGCAATCAATCGGAAAAGAAAACCTTTGTACTATTGTCGTAGTTTCTATGGCCAAAACAAACAACCGACAGGGCTATACAAAACGTCTGTACAACACCAAAATCGTAAGAAATATGAATCTATTGTTGAAGAAATAAGATTACAACTCACTCAGATAATGTAACCTTCATTTTTTAAACTTGTAAACTGCTTGCAGAATGTCATCGAGCCACAGACATAGTTCATATTTTTCCGTACGAAATCAATAACATTTGACGTTCTCTTGTGATTTTGGACCTCTTGTTTTCTTTCATATTAATGTCAATTTCACAATTTATACTTTCATTCCATAGTTGTCTTGATTTTTCACGGAATAACCTATATATATTGACGTTAAAATATCAGTCAAAAATACTGTTTTTCGCTTCGCTTTTGGGATAAACACCATCGCTTAGCACGCGTTGTCATATTTTCCACACAAAAAACGGGAGAAAAACCGGTCTAATATACTCGTTAACAGCTTTCGTTGTGGGCACAAAATCTTAAAATACACACAAAATATTATAAATCGAAATAAGCAAAAAGAAACAAGCCGCTAAAGTCGACACAATAGCATCTGAATTTGGCTTGTCAAGCATTTTTCACTTGTTTTCCCGCGTTTTCCCCGTATCCTAGGATATACGAGGCCTCGATCACGATTGATGAATACGGTCTATACACTGAATTATATAACATATATAGTTCACTGGGTCTATATAGACCGTCTATATCATTCATTTATTTAAAATTGTTGAAGAATACGAATGTTCTCATCAAGACGTTTCACAAGCTATTTACAACATTTGTGTCCGTGCTATATCGAATATGCAGACTCTCGCCTTCGGCTCGAGTTTATATATCCGATACAACATGGCTGCTGATATTGTAAATAGCACATTAAATATTATTAGAACTAAACTGTATGCAAACATACCACTGAACTCAATTCGTGTTCTTTCACCAGCTGAGACAGGAATTATAACAGCTTTCCAATAGTGGCTCTCGCTCTCGTCCAAAAAATGGAGTATGCATATGAATCACATCTACACAACGTGAAAAAAATAAAATCTAAAATCTGGTCTCCATGTCGGCTTGTTGTTCTTCATGAATGTACCGTCAGTAAAACCTTCCCGCAGAGTATTTTTACAGCGTATACAACCAAGCTTGAAAATAAACGGCAGGACACAGACACTGTCCGACATAAAAAGACTTGTATACAAGTGTACTGAAACGGGGCAATTGACCAAATGATTTGCGTACTTACGTTTAGCTGGAAGTTTATATCCTGTCGAAATAGAAGGAAAACACGCATTAATACCACAAAGGAGGATAGTTAAGCCCGGATGAAACGAGGATGAGAGTCCATGAGAGTTGACAGTCACGTGAGCTTGGTTAGCTGTTCTTAATCCTTTCCCAACACTATCATGTATTCTATTGAAGTTAAAACATAGTTGGAACATTCATCAAACCTTTATTTTGTTAATCTAGAGCTTGAAATGTCCGCTGTAACAATGTGTGACTACCAACTCTCATCAACTCCTCGTTTGACCGAGGTTTTATATAGAAATTTAATTAAGGCCAGGGTCAAACGTCGAACTTTTCATGTGCCGAACCTAATGTTAATGAGCTAAGTTCTTTGTTTCACTTCATTTGCATTAGGTTCGGCACATGAAAAGTTCCACGTTTGACCGTGGCCTAACTTGCATTGCGCCATAATGCACCCTATTTTATTACAGACTTTACTCCGTCTAACGCCAGACAATTTTTTACTCATCAAGTGGAGAGCGCCGGCGCTCAATGGTTAAATTTTCAAAAATAATCAATATGTATTGTACTCATTGAAATGAATATAACTGGAACGCGTGGTTACGTCCCGCGTGTTTATATCATGATTGAATGATTAAGCGCTCTTCGCATGCGTGAAAAGACTGGGACTGGCCTTCAAGTTTGGCTTCAAATTTCTAGTTGGAGGTAGCGTTCCAGTTATATTCATTTCAATGATTGTACCTGAGGTGATTTCAGCTTCGTCATTGTCACATGAATTCAATTTGCTATATTCCTCCAGAAATCCCTCGCCTGCAGCTTCATAAATATCATAATCACAATCTAAATAATGAGTAACGTGTAAGTGAACAAGATAGATTTCCATCAAAACCTGTCCACAAGACGCCACTGAAAAACACAACCTACCTCCAATACTTCCAGGAAAACCAATATTCGGGGAAAGAAAATAATAAATGTGGCTTCACAACACTTTTTATCACGGGTGTCAGATATTGGGATCCAAGGTAACTGCATTACCTGCAAGTGACTGGAGCTAACTGCAAACCTGGGTCAAAACATCTTGTGCACGCTAGTATACTGTAGTAGGAAATTTCAATTTTTCCCAGTATCTTTTTACAATATTTACCTACCAGATTTAATAGGTGTCTCTTTTCTAGAACATTTTCTTTTCTCTTTTATTTATCAGATCTCAAGCCTCGAGTTATGTTTCCTATTGCCAAAATTGACGTTCTCACGCTCAGTTGCTCAAAGCTTGAGAACGTAACAATCTTCCTGGTTTGTCCACCTTGGGAAACCTAGCTAAGAAACCTACCATTAGTCACAATAGCATCAATTTCAAGCCGTGTTATATCTCCTCGCCAGAGTGAAACCTTTCTGTTTATGTGATCATTGTCAGTGGTGAATTCTGAATCTTTTTGAAGCCAGCCTGGTAAAGAAGTATGAGTTACCTAATAGACTGGAGAGGGGTGTCTTAATCAAGAACGGGGGAGGGGCAATATCAACGGAGAGGAGGGAGATAGAGGAGAGGTAGTTCTTGCAAGAGAGGAGGGGGTTTAAGAGAAGGGGCTTTGTAGGGAAAAAGGGCAACAGAGCTAAGCCCCAATTGAAGCGGACTGCCAACTAACAAGTATGTGAGGAAAACTACAAGATAAAATATATAATATACAACCACATAAGTTACAATTAAGTTATCTACAAATTATTATTGTTTACAAACTTCATAGCTGTCCATCTTCCTAAAAAAATGAGCTACAATCGTTTTCTTAAAATTTTCGTTGCTACCTATAAACGTTCTGTATCCCTAGAAAGGGAATTCCTTGCCCTTACAATCCTAGCAAAGTACGAATGATAGAAGAAATTATTCCTACATTTAATTAAATTCAATAAAATTGTTTGGATCATATGATCTACAGTTGAATATTTAGGTTTGAGTTGTTTATGAACAAATTTTCTAAATTGAGATTACATTAGTGTTTTAATGAGGAGAGGCTTACTGGAGAAAAAGGTGAGGGCATCTCAATAGAGAGGGGGCATTAATAGTGAGGAGGGGATGGAGTCATAAACAAGATTAGGGTGTGGGGCCAAACAGAGCAGAGGAGCTTTTAATAGAGGATACTGTTTTACAGATGGGCAGGGTTTAATAGAGAAAGGGGAGAGGTCGAAAGGGAGCGGGATGGGGTCTTAATATCCTGAAAGAGAAAAGCCTCGAAATACAGAGGAGGGATCTTAATAGGAAGGGCAAAGTGTCTTAGTAGAAAAGAGGGTGGGGGGTGCTTAATAAAGAGTGGGGAATTCAGAAGAGGGGAAAGATTTTTTAACATGGAGTAACATTTTAATGGCATAAAATAACATTAATAATACCTTTCCTGGTAAAGAACTGATGATTCTCCTTCACATAATCTGGCCATGGTAGTACTTGATCTAAAGTCACATAGCGATTGCCACATTCGTAGTACGAGCGTTTTTCCTCCAAAGGCATGTTGCTGTAATCCATTTCTTTGGCTTCTTATTTTGTTTTCCAGCTTGAATTAACATTTTTGCGAGGATCGGAAAAAAACTAGAAAAAATGTGAGAAAATTGAGAGCTATTACCAGAAAGTATTCATTGATCATGCAGTCATCGGAATTTAGTGATTTTTGCCTCGACAGAATTTTTTTATAGAGTAATTTTTTATCTTAGCAAAAAAAGTATTTTCCTGGAAAGAGCATACTAAAATGAGTAAAACAGCAAAGTCTGGTTGCAAAATGTTGTAAAATGTGGAAAATATAGCCTTCCAAAGTTTGCAAATTTTGTATACTTTGTATTGGGTGTGGCCGGTAGCAATTTCCGCATGGAATACAAAAGTATACCAGATTTGCAAACTTTGCAAGGGCATATTTTCCGGATTTTACAACATTTTGCAACCAAACATTGCAATTTTACTCATTTTAGTATGCTCTTTCTAGCTGTGGTGATTTATTTGCATCTCTATGCCCAGTTTCAAAATGTGATACATTTTTAAAACTAGTAAATATTTTCAAAGCCCCCCTTCTTTCGTCTCTCTGTATTTTTCAAAGCCCCCCCTTTCAGGTTTAAAAAAATTTAAAGCCCCCCCC